TCCCCTTAAATATTTTCTGTACCATTATGTTAAAGTATCTTTTATTTACCCGATGTAATTGTGAGTTCTGAGGCTTACTACCTCAATCTGCTAACCTAGTCCTAGTCCTCCAAGTTTCTAGCCTCCATACAATCTTATTTAGGCCCAGAGTGTTTTCATCCTCTGAGACTTACTGCTTGATAAGCTTACCCTTTCTAGCCGTTTTTGAACTCTGGCTGTCTGGTCAACTCAGCTGTTCTAGTTCAAACTCTTCTTCAAGCTGACTGATTCAACCTAGCTTCTCTCTTGGCCTCTAACTGAATTGCTCTGCTTGGCCTAATACTATCTTTGGCAATATGTTCTAATCTTCTAACTCCTTTTCATTCTCTAGTTCATTCTGTCTTCACCTGTGTCTTGCTTGTCTGTCTCTAAAACCTGTCTCTCTATAACCGTCCCAGTAAAACCGCCTCCTCCTCTCTCTAGCTTCACTGCTCCCTCTTATGTTGCCTCTTTTTTCTCTTTCTTCTTGTGAGAGTTGGGCAAACCCTATGCTGTCAAATCTTTCTCTGACTTATCACTTTGTCTGCCACTCAATTGGACATCACTTTCAAACATGGGTGCTTCCTTCTAAACTTTACCTTCAACTTTACCTAATTATTATTGTTTGGGATTAAAGATGTGTACTAAGGGTATGTCTGTATTCTAGACAGATAGATTAATGATGTGAGCCAAAGACTAAGACACACCACAACTAGAAACAGGATTTTTTTTCAGTAAATAGCACAATCTCAGACTTCACAGTGTGATAAAATATCCTGTAACACTATTAGGTCTTAATTGTATAATTATAATTATCTAAAATTAATAAATGAATTGATATGAAACAACATCTAGCCCGTTGTCATTGTAGGACCATGTACATAGCTCAAAGATTAATCAATATAATTTTTAATTAATAAAATTTATAATATATTTTGATTCTTGTTTATTAATGTGTTTTCTTGAAATAAGTGAATTAATGAAATCAGTGATTGAAATGTGATCGTGATCATTACTTTTAAACATTCTAAATTATTTTCTGTCTCTATAGACAAATGTGAACATGTGGAGTAAGTTAAAAATGACTAGGAAGAAGTTACTTTGTCAGAAATCCACTGGGTCATGCCTCACAAAAGCATGCTGGCTTTGATCCCCCCTCCCAGAGTGTATGATTACCTACAGAAAGTGATCTACTGCCAAAGAATGATAGAAAATAGACAGATGGCAGAAGGTGACAGTTGGTACAGAAGGCACTCTTTGATTTCTGTGACAATGGAATGTGATATAAGATTTTTTAAAATGAATTCCTTATAGTGTAAAGATGTAATTTTTATCATTACCATTATTAATTTTACCACATAAATTATTAAATTACCTTCAGATAAAATTTTCTTCTGAATTATTCAACAGCCTTATCCTATAATGTAAAAAATTGCTTTATTTCCAGAACACCACTGAAGACAGAATTTAAAATATAACAAAAGTCTTAGACACTAAGGTAATCATTATATTATGAATCAAGATAACAAAAAATAAAACTTAATATCTAACAATATGAAAGTATATAAAAAGCAAAGGGAACCATGTATACCATAGTACTGGGGTTCCAGCTCTTTTGGGATGAAGTGTGCATGAAGCTCTAGGTTCAGTCCTTGCACAACACCAGGCACGGTGGCACACTCCTGTATGCCCAGCCATCTTTGGCTTCATATCAAGTTTGAAACCAACATGGACTACATGAGACCTTGTCTCAAAAAAAAATTCACTAACAGTTGAGGATAAGAGACATAGAAGGCTTCTCTCCTCCACTTCCACCCTCTAAAAAAAGAAACAGTCTAAACAAGAAGCCATTGAATACAACCCATAAAAACTGGAAGTGATGCTGAAGTGTAGCTTTTCATAGTTGATAGCTTCTGTGTTGTTTTCTGTCTTCTGTCTTCTTCTGTCTTCCGGTGGGAGTAGGGGTAGAGAAGGTCTCAGTATTTTTAAGGGGCTGCCCATTGGGAGTTTGACCATGCTCCTGTTAGGATCCAATAACTGCTGAAGGAAAACCCCAGACTCAAAAAGTATGCAAAAGCAAAGAGTGCTTATTCAGCAGAATTTCTTGCATACAAGGGTCCCATTCAGTGAAATGGAGACAGTAAGTGGGCTCTCAGGCCTAGTTTTTATACTGGGCTAGGGGAATGTCCGGTAGAGGTATGTGCCCTTCACCTTGATTGGTTAGCTCTATCTCTAGGGGTATGAGTGTTTCAGTGATTGGTCAAATCTTTGAGAGGTCTCCAGGTTGGTTTTTGACTCAGACTACCAAAGTGTCCTCTAATTGGCTACCCTCTGGCTGTGATTGGCTGACTATGGGGACATTCCTGGATGGCAGTTCTTATTTCTGTGAAACAGAAACTTAGGCCTAGTTTCCTGAACTGCCAATTTGCAGCCTATAGTCAGCCTAACTCAATCTCCTCGCTCCAGTGAGTATATGGTCAATATAAATTGAACTTGATATATTTTTCTTCTTCTTTTGTTTTGGGGAAGGTCACAAGGGTGAGGGGTTGGACTTGGTAAAACTGGGAAGTGAATATGTTCAAAATTCATTGTATGGAATTTCCAAATAATCAATAAAATACTATGTTAAAAAAAAGAAAAGGTAAAGAAAACTATCACATACACATGAAATAAAATAATATATAGTTACAAATAAATCTAGTCATTAAAGTATAATAGCAATGTAAAATATATTCTGAAGAACATAGTATAGTAAAGAGTTGGAAATTTAAAATACATGATCTCACAGAGATGAAAGCAAAAACATAGGAAACATCAGTGACTCTGCTGGAAGTTTGCTGAGACACACAAATTTTCTGTTGGCAGTAAGCAGCCTTGAGAACTCTGACCACGCTCCTCTCCCACTCTGCGAACTCTGATGAGGATTGATTAGACCAAGGAAGCCAAATAGACCATCCAGTTTTGATCTTGTTTAAAGCTATGCCACTCTTCATTCTGTGAAATAAGATCAGAAACAGCAAATCAGAAACTAGCAAGCAGAGTTCAAGACCCTACTAGTGATTGCCTCAAAGGATAGTGGGAATTTCTTAAGTGATCAATAACTGCCTGGTGGTGAACTAACTGAGTTTAATATAGACAAAGACTCTTTTTGTTTGTTTTCTATATATTTTTAACTTTTTGTTGGTTCTATGCGAATTTTACATCATGCACCCCAATTCTACTCCTCTCCCCATTCCCTTGTAACTACCCTCCATCCTTGCAACTTCCCCCCTCAAACAAAGAAATAAATCTCATCATGGCAAATATAGTGTGTCACAGTGTGTCTTGCAGTATACCCTTGTGTCTACATGCCTTTGTTTGCAAATGTTCATTGCAATGACATGTTGGTCTGGTACAAGGCTTATACTACTCTATCAATACTGAAACCTCACTGAGACTCTTCTAGGATATCCTATTGTTGCCCTGGAGTTTTGGATCTATAGGGCCAGCCCCTTCATGCACTCCAGCTGTTCATTTATGGGGTAGATGATAGGGTGGGTCAATTTAAAGCCCTGGATGTGAGCCTGAGAGGTATCTGAGCTGGTCAGCCATCTGGCTCTCTCACTCTCATGCCTTTGAACCAGCTTACCGACAATCTCCTCACCCCCTGTAACCTGGGACAGCTCTACCCTGTTAAGTGAGGTGCAGGGTCCACTCTCACTGTGCTGTAGCTGGTGAGGGGCATGGCCGTTTCTCCCACGCTGATGACCTCAGGGCCAGCTCTCCTGCCTGCTGTAGTTGGCAAAGAACGAGAGGGGGTAGGCATATCTTCCTTGACCCTGTCAACAAATGGCAGACAGGTGGTGGGGCCAGTTCTCTCATGCTCATGCCCTTAGAGGCCTGCTCACCCATGATCCCACCACCAGGGTCAGCTCTATCATGTAGCCTAGGTGAGGTGCAGAGGTTCAGGGTCTGCTCTCCCAAGTGTTGCAACTGGTGAGGGGCAAGAACAGCTCTCCTGCTTTCATGACCCCAAGGCCAGGTCTTGCACCTGCCTCAGGTGGTGAGGGTCCAGAAGGGAGGAAAATATGTCTCCCTCGACCATACCACCACACTGGAGACAAGTGGTAGGGACAGCTCCCACACACTTATAACCTCAGGAGGCTCACTTGCAACTCCACAAGCAATATGCAAGACCCATTCACTATCCAGAGGACTGCAACTGGCTAGAGGCAGTCAGCTCTCCTGTTCTCATGCCCCCAGGGCCAAATCTCCCAGGATACCCCAGGAATCGGTGGAGCCAGTTATGCATAGCCTTCAGAAATCATCACATTCCCAAGTGGGAGCCCAGATTAAGAATGCCTGCCTGGACTTTGTTGATTACAGACCCCTGCTGCTACAGGGCCATGGACCCAGATGTGGCTTCCTGGCAGTATCACAGGCCAAGACCCTACCATGGTCCCAAGTGGCATCATCACCAGCTACTTACACCAGGCTGTTTCTCACTACCCTTAGGTCTCCAGTTCTGCCTCTCTTCATTGTGCCCTCATACTTCTGTTTCTCTTCCATTTCTCCACCACTCACTTGCTCCTTTTAGGGGTGCCTGAGGTTCTCTGAGTTTCAAAGGCCATCTCAAGAGTGGTCTCAGGAGTGCTATGCCCCACTCATGCATTATGGTACTGGGCCAGAGTCATCTCGGACAGCTGTCATCTTGAACACGATCTGCCCCCACTCCCACCCGCAGGTCTGCACATCACTGGACTATTGGTCATCTCAGGGTAGCTTCTGGTCTGAGCCCTATGTCTGGTGGTTGTCTTGGGCTGGCTCCTTGCCTGCTCCCAGCGGCCCTTGAGAGGGTTATCTGTCATGGGCTCACTCTGACCCAGGGTCCATAGTCCCAAGTGGAGTTCTTCTAGTCTCCAGTACACTTCCTGTCCTGGGAGCCGGTCTAGGCCTACCTGGTGCCCAACTAGTGGTCATCTCAGGCTCTCTTTTTTTCAGGGAATGTTAGGCTACTAATCGTTCAGATGTTCATAGGTCAGAACACTGGGTGTAGACATAGCCTCTCTCCTCTCTGCCACCTACTGACACACATGTGACATAAGAGCCACACTTGCAATGCCTCTGGGGGCAGTAAGACAAAGAGTCTTGATAAGCAACTTGGTTAATATCTCTGATTGCTTTTTCTTGTTTTTCTTACTTTCAAATATTCTATTTTTAGTATTAATTTATCAAAGATTTGGAGAAAATGAGCCCTTCAATAAGTAGCTTGTATAACCCATCAAATTATTTAAATTGAACCAACAGACATCAGGAAATGTTTGAGTTGCTATGTACTTGATATTCCTCATTTCTTCAGTTAATCAGCTAAGACTTCCGTCTAATTCTACTGTCTTCCCAATTTTTCTGCTCCTTTGCATTCTTCCCTCCTTATATTCTCACCCCGCTACCTTGATATCTTCTCAGTGTTACATAAGTAACAAAGTCTGAATAGCCCTACCCCGTGACTCTATGCACTATGATTCAATAATAAAATATGCTCCCAATTGACACTGACAACATCCAGAGTGAGACCCATCATTTTCCTAAGGAAATCAAGAAGCTGAAGAAACTACAGTCACCCTCTGGGATTCAATTAGGAAGTGACAAGATTGACCCAGATTAGTCACAGTTGTAAGACACCAACTTAAATGGAAGCAGAGCTACAAAGGAAAGCCTCTAAGGCTTTGGACTTCATTTCTTATGCATCATTGCTGAGAAGTAACCTAAATATAAAAAAAAGGCAGGGAACTGAGAACACATAGAAGTTCAGAGAACTGTTTGTAACAGTGTCCAATTCGTTGTCTGAAATGTCCCATATGCTGTTCTTATTCTAAGTATCAAAATGCAAACTGAGTATGCAAGTCTTGGCAGGGTTCCACATGTGTTTTCAAAAAGCTCTTTATCATAGATAGCAGATTATTTGCAACAATTATGGATATTAAGCTATAATACAAAGATGCATTTTATGAAATCCCCTGTATCAAAGTTCATATTCAAAGAAAATATACAATGTTCTCACTGCCCTTCTTATATAATTCCTGACGATTTCAAATGCAAACCAATAACATTTTGTTTTTCCTTGGTTTATATAATTGGCATTCAAGGATAAGTTCTAAGGCGTCAGCTCTGCACACAATCCTCCAAAAACCAGGACTCCCAGGAGCTCTAACATGCCCAGGAGGTGAGTAGACCATGACACCACCAGCCCCCAAAACAGGGAGTAATTTGAGACCCACAAGGACCCAGGAACTCCCTCAAGGCCAATGGCACAGGACCCTTCCAGTCTGCATCTGTGCTTGGAGCAGTACTAGGGTGCCAGCTCTGCACCAAGTCCCACAAAACCCAGAGGAGGCTGGACTCCAAGGAGCCCTAACATGTCAAGGAATATAGGATAGTAGGATCACAGAATCTCAGGAGCTTGGGCTCACCAGGATTTCAGGATCTCAGAAGCAGCCTTACTCCCAGGAGCAATCACAACCAGGATCTCAGGATCACAGGATCACAGAGACATCTGGACTCTGAGGAGTTATGACACAACCAAGGTAACAGGACAAACAGGCTCCAGTCAGAGACAGTGAGTGAAGGTAGCACTAGAAATAACCAGACAGTGAAAGACAAGAACATAAGCAAGAACATAAGCACTAGAAACCAAGGTTACTTGGCATCATCAGAACCTACTTCTCCCACCATAGCAAGTCCTGAATACTCCAGAACACCAGAAAAACAAGATTCAGATTTAAAATCACTTCTCATAATGATGATAGAAGACTTTTAGAAGGACATAAAAACTCCCTCAAAGAAATACAGGGGAACACATGAAAACAGGTAGAAGCCCTAAAGGAGGAAACACAAAAATTCCTTAAAGAATTATAAGGAAACACAACCAAACAAGTGAAGGAATTGAACAAAACAATTCAGGACATAAAAAAAAATGGAAGTAGAAACAATAAAGAAATCTCAAAGGGAGACTACCATTGAGATAGAAAACCTAGGAAAGAGATCAGGAGTCATGGATGCAAGCATCAGCAACAGAATACAAGAGACAGAAGAGAGAATCTCAGGTGCAGAAGATACCATAGACAGCATTAACAGAACTGTTAAAGAAAATACAAAATGCAAAAACTCCTAACCCAAAGCATCCAAAAAATCCAGGACACAATGTAAAGAACAACCCTTAGGATAATAGATATAGAAGAAAGTGAAGAAAGCCAGTAAATATCTCCAACAAAATTATAGAAGAAAAGTTCCCTAACCTAAAGAAAGAGATGATTATGAACATATGAGAAGCCTGCAGAACTCCAAATCGACTAGATCAGGAAAGAAATTCCCCCCATCACATAATAATCAAAACACCAAATGCACAAAACAAAGAAAGAATATTAAAAACAGTAAGGGTAAAATGTCAAGTAACATATAAAGGCAGACGTATCAGAATTACACCAGACTTCTCAGCAGAGACTATAAAAGCCAGAAGATCCTGGACAGATGTCATACAGACACTAAAGGAACACAAATGCCAGCCTAGGATACTATATCAATTACCATAGATGGAGAAACCAAGATATTCCACAACAAAACCAAATTTACACAATATCTTTCCATAACCCAGCACTACAAAGGATAATAGCAGGAAAGCTCCAATACCAGGAGGTCAATTATACCCTAGAAAGAGCAAGAAAATATTTAAGTGGCCCCAAAACTTCCACCAGAGAACTCCTAAACCTGATAAACAACTTTAGCAAAGTGGCTGAATATAAAATTAACTCAAACAAATCATTAGCCTTCCTCTACTTAAAGGATAAGCAGGCTGAGAAAGATATTAGAGAAACAACACCCTTCACAATTGTCACAAATAATATAAAATACCTCAGTGTGACTCTAACCAAGTAAGTGACAGATCTGTACGAAAAGAACTTCAAGTACCTGAAGAAAGAAATCAAAGAAGATCTCAAAAGATGGAAAGATCTCCCATGCTCATGGATTGGCATGGATAATATAGTAAAAATGGCCATCTTGCTAAGGGCAACCTACATATTTAATGAAATCATCATCAAAATTCCAACTCAATTCTTCACAGAGATAGAAAGAGCAATTCTCAAATTAATTTGGAATAACAAAAACTCAGGACAGTGAAAACTATTCTCAACAGCAAAAGAACTGGAGAAATTACCATCCCTGACCTCAAGCTGTACTACAGAGCAATAGTGATAAAAAAAAAAAAAAAAAAAACGGCATGGTGTTGGTACAGAGATAGGCAAGAAGATCAATGGAATAGATTCAAAGACCTAGAAATTAACCCACATACCTATAGTCACTTGATCTTTGACAAAGGAGCTAAAACCATTCAGTGGGAAAAAGACAGCATTTTCAACAGGTGGTGCTGGTTTAACTGGAGGTCAGCATGTAGAAGAATGTAAATTGATCTGTTCTTATCTCCTTGTACAAAATTCAAGTCCAAGTGGATCAAGGACTCCCATATAAAACCAGACACAGTTAAACAAATAGAAGAGAAAGTGGGAGAGAGTCTCAAACACATGGGCAAAGGGGAAAAGTTCCTGAACAGGACACCAATGACTTATGCTCTAAGATCAAGAATTGACAAATGGGACCTCATAAAATAGCAAAGCTTCTGTAAGGCAAGGGACATTGCCAATAGGACAAAATGGCAACCACCATATTGGGAAAAGATCTTTACCAATCCCACATACGATAGAGGGCTAATATTCTTAGGATCTGGATTTCAAACAGGTGTCAGCATATATGTTAAGGCTATTTTAATTGTCAAATTAAAATTACTTTTGTTTCTTCTACAGTATTTAATGTAAGTTGCATTGATTGTACACTTTCTAATTGTGTTAGTGTGTTGAAATCTGGTATGTCAGTTACAGATGTCTATCAATCAGTTTTTGGTTTATTGTCTTGAGTATTCTAACCTTGGTATTCTAAAAACAGCTTGCAAGTACTAAAAGAAATTAGTCAGGCTTTAAGAAGAGGCAAGAGGGTAATGATCTTGATTATTGCTGGTATAACAGCTTTAATAACATTAATTGTTAGCATCACTGCTTCTGCAACTGCTTTGACTCAAGAAGTTAAGACAGCTACTTTTATTAATCATTTAGCAAAAAAAAATGTTACTAATGTGTTTAATATACAAGAGGATTTAGATAGGCATTTAGAAGAACGGATTGATGCTCTTTATCCTATTCAAATTATCAAAAGGAGGTTCAGAATTTAAGGGTAAGGAGCCATCTCAAGGTCATGCCAAATACCACTGGATTCATGTTAGTTCTAAAATTTACAGTGCTAGTCACTATAATTATGAAAAAGTTTAAAGACACTTGCAGTTTATTTGGCATAATTCTAACACCTCTTGGATGTTTTACCTTTGAATAGTGAGCTTATGAATTTCACGAATGCTGCTCTGCTGAGTGTTGATGTGGTAGATACTGCTGATGAAATTATCCATAGCCTGAGGTCAGTATTTCTATTTTGGTCAAGCTTCAAAAATGGTATATATAGCTTGATCATTCTAGCCCTTTTGGTCCTAGGAATAATTTTATTCCTGCCCATCATGTTAAAGCTTGTCTTTAACAACATCAACATGTTGGCAGCCAAAGTATATGGCTTAAACCTGAAAATAGAACCCCCCCACAGAGTTATTAAATGAATAAGCTAAGGGCGGGTAAGATTCTGCATGGAGCCTTATCAACCTAAGATAGAAGTGCATTGCTTTTGATAATGCATATTCCATGATGTATAAGGAAGGCGTTCTTATCAGAATGACCTAAGACAGGCTCAATCTTGTTAATGAAATTAAAAAGGAGAAGAGGCAGAGAGCCTTTGAGGCTGCTTGGTGAGAATCTAACATGGGCCAAGGACAAGGAAATGGGCTGCTTGGCAGAAATACGACATTGGACAAGGACAAGGAAGTAGGCTTCAGCCAGGAATCTGACATTAGGCTAGAACAAAGAAATAATTTCAGGCAGGAATCTAAATCTTGGGCCAGAACAAAGAAGTAATTTCAGGCAGGAATCTAAGTTTTAGACTAGAACAAGAAAGTAGGTTTCAGACATGAAAAGGACTTTGGGCTAGG